CACCCAACATTGAGATAAAAAAATTGGCTAATACATATACACAGTGCGGTCCATAAATACCCGGGCTGATTTTTTTACGACAATACTAGTGTCGCGATTTATCAACCAATACTTCCAACCATGTTGTGGTATCCCTTAGCGACCTTTGTGTGTGGTTTCAGCTCTGTACGACCAGTTGACGTGGAGAACGAGTGGTTTGTGTAAACAGTGTTTTAGGTAGTGTGTCACAAATTACAAAATGGATGCGTGTAAGGATCGACGTGTCGCGATAAAATTTTGTTTTAAAGCCGGTATTTCGGCGACTGAAACTTTGTCAATGCTGCAAAAGATTTATGGGTCGATTCCGTGCGAGTCGACACTGGGCGACCACAACGTTCATCGTCTTTTACTGATTCTCTGCCATCACGAAAACGACCGTACCACTCAAACACCGCTGTACGTTTTAAAGAATCATCCCCATAAGTCTTTTGCAGCATTAACAAAATTTAAAAATTATGATTATTTAAACAATTGGCCAAAAGTGAACTTTGTTAATTATCAAGATTTTTTAAATCCGCTTTTTCCACGTGATTCAGAATCGTTTGTAGTCATTTTGCTTTCGTTTGTAGTTGCACCATTGCGTGTGTATTAAAATAGTTTACTTCTCTTTATAATAGTTCCCTTCACGAAATTGTTCATACCAACGAGAAATGTCGAATTGCATTAGTGCTCCATCTCCATAGACTGCACGCACCATTTCATAAGTTTCTGTCGCAGTTTTATCTGCTTTAAAACAAAATTTTATCGCCATTCGTTGTTCGATGCTTCACTCCATGACAACAGAGTATTACTATGTCACATTCAACATAGAATGCTATCTCCGAATGCATTTGTTCACACAAACGAAACTATTAGCTGTTTCGATTACACGAATTTTAATCGACCCAAGATTGATAAATGTCATTGCATCGTCTCCATCAATAAAAGACTTGAATTTATAGTAAAATAGTGATTGATCAATCTTGGATCGATCAAAATCCGTATAATCGAAAACGCTATATGCACAAATCAAGTTCAGACATGTTACTAATTAGTTGCAACAACAGCCGCTAAATTGCATAAATAATACTTACTCTCTGAAAAAAATCGGTCCAACTTTGTAGACGCATTGTGCATATAGCAGGATTGTAGCGCAAAAGTCATTGTAATTAGTCCAGTTTTGCAATTATGGTCGTTCGCTTGAAGAGGGACATCCCTTAAGGATTATTTCTTACTTAAATATTTTCATATGCAGAATAGGAAGAGGCATTAACTTATGTAAAAAAAGCCACATGGTTTGGCTTTTAAAAAAATGGAGATGATCCTCATATCAAAAAGGTTTTCACTTGAAACAAAACTATGCTGACTGTCTAAAATGTCTCTCGCGAAACTAAGTAATCTTTCTGTGATATATTTTCGAATAAAACTTATATTTGAACATTTATTGGAGATGTTTTTGGTTGTTTTTTTGTTGAAGTTTTTATGCAACATATTTAAAAACCATAAAAGTTTTAAAAAAGGCAGTACACTTATTAATTACTGCAAAATTTACTTTACAAAATCTACAAAAAAGATGTTTTCGAAGATTTTCAAATAAACTTGTAACCCAAAGAAGATTTGTTTACTATCGCTATACTATACATGTAAACTGTCGACATTCTGACACGTGTCTTTATCTAATTGTGGACCGGTTGTTCCGACTTCTTGGTAGACTTTACCTCAGTTATTTAAAATAAATATCAGTAATCCTTACTCGATGGTTGGAATAACAATTTAACCCGTAGGTAAACTTTATCAGCAGATAGAACAACAGTTACTGATATTTATTTTAGGTAACTGAGAGGTAAAGTCTACTAGAAAGTTGGAACACACAACCGGCTCTGTGAGTTTAAAGTTCGGTAGCCTCTGCCTTATCTAAGGCAAACGACTGAATAATGATGGTGGAGTCGCACGTGGCGTTTGGTTGATTTTATGCACAGAATCGCAATATGTATATGTATTTGTATTTGATATACAGCGCGATGTAAATTTCTAGATATAGAAATCGATATTCAGTTGCAGAGAGGATCGAGTAACACAGCTGGTTTTTATAGCGTTTGCGTAAGAACTATCAGCGCTAAAGTTTTCATGAAAGAACAACTTCAATTTTAGACTGTATTTCGCGTACGTACTGGCATTATGTTTTACAGCCGCAATCCTCGTATAACTTGATTATTTAGGGACGTAACGATACGTTCAACGGATTAGACCGCCGCGATAAGTCGCGCACATGCATCGTCAGCATCCTCATGAAGGGAAAAATGAATATTTATTCGACGCAATGACACAACAAAAATTTGTACAACATAAATTTGTACAAAGCGATGTGAAAAATATTTAAAACAATTATAAATAAGACAATTTTGAATTTAACTTATTTACATTTTTCTTAATCTTAACTTTAATTTAACATTGAATTTAACTTTTTCTTTGGATTCTTTGTGTTTTTTGGTGAATTTTAAATGTCAGCTAAAAGTCCACTCTAAATTCGAAAAAAATTGCCTCGCATTGTTTTTACATCGAGTGATAATTAGTTAAATCTTCAATAATCAATAATCTTCAATAATTAGTTTAATATTTCTACCATCTTTGCCCAATGTCTAATTTAGCTATCCATCTAACCTTTAACTTAATTATTGTATAATATATACATTGTATAATGTATTTTCTCAAAAAATATAAAATAAAAATAAAAAATATAATATTTAATATTTATTTTATATTATAAAATAATATAATAATAAGAAAATATCCCGTTTAGTACATATTCTTAAGAATATGTCTTAAGAATACATACGTTAAGAATATCTGCTATTTTTTTAGAGGATTTTACTCTTAAACTAAGAGGACTTCTTGGCGCTTATTTTAGAGGAAGATGCTATAAATATAAGTGAAATATTCTTAAGATAAGAATACAATTTTTTCGGTGTTATATGAAACTTATTAAATAATCGATACACAATTTACGGTGGAATATAAAAACTCTATTTCTAATTTTATGTGTGCTGTGTAGAGATCCATCTATAGATCGCACAAAACACAGTTCGTTGACGCAAACGCAGACGCAATCGCACAAACCCAAAAAGTTGGAGTTGATTCAACTCGTAACACATGCAGTCAATTTATGTTTGCGTGTATCTTGCGTGCGGTGACATACTGTTACATGGGTCATTTTGCGTCTGCATTTGTGCACAACGTTTTGTAGACCTAAGTCTATAATATAAATTGGTAGTTTTAGAAAATTCAGAATATACACACATGTGCAAAATATTGCATTTCTATTTCGAATTGTATGGCGAGAAATATCCCGAGTCGAAATTTAAAACCTACTATAAACCTCATACATGGTTATTTGTGCCTCTAATAATGTTCCTTGACCTACAAGTTCTATCTTGAAAGTGTTATGTCTTCTTTTGACCTTTCTTTAATCTTATTGTCCTAGAAAACCCTTATTTTTATTGATGTTAAATATACAATTCCTACTTTTGTTCTTACAACTTCTACCTCTTTTGAATCTCCAAATCTTATCGAAATTTCTAGCAATAAAAATATTAATATTCAATCTATAATTGAGTTCAATTTCTATTGTTTCAGATTAATATAATAAATGTTATAATATAAAATAAATAATAACAAATAAATAGTAAAAAATATTTTTAAAAATTAAGTGCAACTCAGTATTATATTTAGTATTATAAATAACTAAAAATTTATTCGAATAAACAAAAAACAATTGAAATTCAAAATTTTATTTAATATTTTATTACATATTTGACCTATAATTTGAAATTATTTAATATTCTGTTACCACATTTACTTGTATTTAATGCATATCTTAATTTCAATAAGCGCAATACATTAATTATGTAATTTACTTAACTGCAGATAGATGTGTAAGAGATAAGTGAATATTATTTATATAATATTTGCTTATAGTAGCCTATTTACAGTTAAGCAAATTATAATAATTAATATATTGTTTATTGAAATCAAGATCCATACATTAAATGCAAGTAGAGTATATGAGATAATAGATTATTAAGTAATTTTGAATATTTATTTTCTAGAAATACATATTTATAGAACCTGGAGCCTTTTTAGAGGTTCTCAGTAGGTACTCTTTTGAGCTTCCACATGGAAAAAACGGCAATAAGTAACAATTTTTAGTATCAAAGGAGGGCAATAGCCAATGTAATGTTATATCTATATATATGAATTAAAGCTTACATTGGTTCTCCAAATTCGACAAAACTTGTAGGTTTAATCTAGGCTAAAAATTTCGACTCGGGATTATCTTAAGTGAATTTTGGAAGAAATAATAATACTTAAGGTGTATTATAACATTTACGCGTATCGCTTTCATACCGGTTTGACTGTCAAATTTTATATAAATCAAGTTGCATTGTTCCTGTCATCATTGATTTATTTGCCGATCGCGTTTCTCGTTATCAGGATCAGTTACCTACATGCACGATGGCGCACTATAGTTTGCATCGAATTTCATGCAGTTATACAGCTGGATGATTCATTAGCATGTCGATGAAAATGAAGAAGACTGTGGATGTGAAGTGTCTAATCTTAGACTGCAGGTTCGCTTCTCCGAACATCACTTTTCAACGAAGAAAACGAGCTCCGTTATTTCGAAGTTTTCGGAGTTTCGTCAAAAAATATATATGTATAAATCCAATTAACTTATGTATAAATAGATGTAATATTCAATAATACAATAATTTTGATAAGTGAATAAAGTGCAATAAATTTTAACATATATATCTCCACACGATTCCCTTGAAACCACTCATAACTGTGGAAACCACAGCAGACCACTTGAGCGGTAATTTATTTGAAAGCGTTTTGACATCCCGAAATATATTTACCGCCATTAAAATTTAGCGGATGTGGAACGATGAGTCACACTCACCGTGCTACTTTCTGTTTTGCAGCTTCGACGAGACGTCGATGGACAGCTGCATATTGGCTACCGTCGACGAGGGACGCCGTGTCAGTGACTTGTCGGGCGAGCTGGTAAAGGACAGTAACGAGGTGGAAGTGACGTCACTGGAGGAAGCTAAATCGGTCATAGCGGCACTTAGGGCGAGACAACGGGCGCAGGCCCACCAAATGCTCGCCTGGCGAAGGACCCTCAAATTGCAGGTAAGTTTTAATTACGAGGAAAAAATTCTACATGCAAAGAGAAACGAATTTCCCTCCCCCCGTTTCGTCCTCGTTCGGCGAGGAAATCAGTCGGGGAACGCGAAACGATCGATCAAAGCTATTACCTCAGAAAACCATAAAACACGCTCGGCCCGAACCGATGCTACGGACAGTGAAATATTAGATACACGGTGATCCATTTAAATGCGAGCTGCTACATATTTGGAACAGACGTCTGTCGAAGAGAAAATGTTTCAAATAAACGTTGCTTATTTGTATAGGCGAGTAAACCGCGAATTGAAATACTATTGTAGTCGAGTGTGAATTAGTTGAAAAATTTAATTCAATATTTTATCAAATTTTATCTTTGATTATTTTTTAAACACAATTTGATGGAGTCTTTTGCATTTTTTTTTATATTTGATATCCGTAATTAGGTCTTCTTGGAATATCTTGCTAACGAACGATTGATTTTAGAGTTGGAGAACTATTCTAGAGTAATTTGCTTCTAAAGCTTTTCGATCTCAAACATTCGATATGCATTAATTTTGTAATAAAGCTAATAGAGAAAGACAAAATTTCAGCGAGTGAACAAAACGACGTTGCCGCCACGAGTCATTGTCATAAAGAGATTTCTGTTCATTTCCGGGATAAGCCGAAGCATTTCGTGACATACTACGATTTCGCGTTTGACTTTGCGTGACTACGGGCGATTCCTCGTTTGCGGGGTAGTCTTGTTAAAAAAAAAGGAACTCCCACTAAATTTGTCTGCAATTTGTGGGGGTATAATTGCTACGAAATGATCCTCTTTCTTCGGTTTCTATCTGGTTTGTGCAGAGGAAGTACGCGAGCGTACAGAAGGAATGACCGATGTGGTTGGCGGTAATGACTTTTCGTGTACTTTTATCGAAAGGGGGCGATATTAATACGTTGTAATGTATCCAATTTAGCAGTAAAAATGCGATCTTTCATAATGTGTCTACGCACGAACAGTTATGCCTGAATGGATTTGCGACTTGCTTTGAATATGCAAATTTGTCTTTTTCTGTTAACTGTTCGTCTATTTTCTGCATACTTTCTGTTCAAATCAACCGAAAAAATAATAAAGTAAATACTGGGTGTATTCCGAACCGTGTTAGTTCGGCTTATTTTATTTTCTAGATGTTGGCAGCCACTAAACTAAACCGAAACGTGTTCCGAATCCTGCCATAATATAATCCTGTACATACATACGATACTAATTGCAGGTTAACATGTTCGAAACACTTCTCGGTTTAGTTTAGTGGCTGCCAACATCTAGAAAATAAAATAAGCCAAACTGACACGGTTTGGAATACATCCACTTTTTATATTCGAACATCTATAAGGCAATCATTGTTGAAGATATAATTTTGGTTTTTAATATTTTCTGTTGCGTAATGTTATAAAGTAAAGGAATAATTTAATATTTAATTTTTTCTATACCAGCGTTCTCTCTCTCTCTCTCTCTCTCTCTCTCTCTCTCTCTCTCTCTCTCTCTCTCTCTCTCTCTCTCTCTCTCTCTCTCTCTCTCTCTCTCTCTCTCTCTCCTCTCTCTCTCTCTCTCCTCCTCCTCCTCTCTCTCTCTCTCTCCCTCCCCTCCCCCTCCTCCCTCCCTCTCCCTCCCTTCTTTTTTTCTTCTTCTTCTTCTTCTCTCTCTCTCTTCTCAAGTAATAACAATAATGAGAAATTTCTCAATTTGTACAAAATAAATCATCCGAGTCTTTTCAAGTTTTTATTACATTAAATTATGAAAGTACTTGACCTCTTTAAAAATTTGTTATTTACTGACCGCTGTTTACTCATTTGACTAATTGTAAGCTCCTAGCACATATATGACGATAGAATTAAGTAAAATTAATCATATCCAAGAAGAATATCAAGAAAACATCTTTTTCACATTTTTTTAAGAATACCTTTCTTACCGCTTTCATAAACAGAATCTGCCCTATAAAGCATTAATTGGTTCATTCATATAGCGCATTCTACCGATGAAGTGTTCCCATTATTTTTGTTCTGCGTCTGTTTTCGAAATGCATGACGCGCAATGATGATAACACCTGGTCGTCTCACGGTGCTATCGTCATTGCCGTTTACGTTGCACACAATAGTGAGAGTAATAGACTTATTGCTAGTCCTCCTTGCAGGAGGACGGAAGGAAGAGACGCGGAGCGGTGCTCATGCAAAGCGGTAGTCAGATACACACGTGTAGATGTACCGTTGGGCAAACACGCAGCTTCACGCGTGTACCGATGCGTGCAGGCGGAACGCATCGCACGCCATTAGTACATTCTGCGTAAAGCAGAGAGACTCGAGATATTTGTGTAAATACAAACTGGTGTACGGTAAAAATGCGATCTAACGCCGTACCGTTCCGGCAAATTATATCATCGGTTGAACAGTATTATAACCGGGTCGAGAAATCGGGGGGAAAAAATTACGTAGAACGCACCGCACACTGGAGGAAATTAATTAACAGCGCTAAGTAAATATTAATGGTAGCGATGTGATCGCTCCCTGATTAATTACTCAATATCGGAAGTGAACGACACAAAACACCAGTCGCCACGGTGGCTACTTCATAATCGCTTCGTTATTAATTGCCGGCGCGGATTTTTAGTAGCTCGTGCACTGAAGAGCTGCGGTATTGTCGCGCGATTAATATGGCAAATTGACGCGATTCACGTCCCGATGATTGTTCGCAGGAGGAGCTGGTGACTCGATTAACGCGAGAGAAGGCCGAGCAGTTGCGGACGTTGTCGTCGCAGCTTCTGCTGTTCGAGTCGAGACTCTGCAGGAAGCAGAAGGAGATCGAGGCCAGTTTGAGTCAGCGGGAATCCATTATTCTACGGCAACAAAGAGTGATTCGGCAATTGCAGAGTAGATTGGCGGAAAGGAGCACGGGTACCAGAGACTCGCCGCCCTGCGACGCCCTGGACAGATTGGACAGTTTGGGAGATAGCGATAGCGCCGTGGTGCTCGAGGAAACCGCTGACGATCCTGCCCCGCCGAGGTACGCATTTTTAAAAGAGACACAACATTGGGACTGATTCTGTGTATTGTATATCGACCTGCATCAGAGTTTTCATAACTGTAATTGTACACTTCCATAGGTTTCGCTCCAACATTACTGACGTAACTGTGATTCGTTCCGTATCCGATGCGGTGGAGCCATCAAACAAATATTCGTCAATGCGACGGTGCAATGGCTTTCTTAGAAGACCGGAGATCCTGGAAACCGTGTATTCCGTAGAGGAAGACGGCGACAGCGAGAATAATCAGGATCCATCCGAGTCAACGGAGAACTCGGAGTATGAGGACAGGAGGGCGAAAAGCTTGGGCAACGGAAAAGGCAGACTCCAGGATCTTTACGGTAGCTTCGAGAGGCTGACTCAAGAAACGGATTCCCCGCCCAGCGAAAGGCCTAGAGACGAAAGCCAGCAGGCGCAGGTAGAATTTCAAATCTTATCGCAAATTAAGAAAGTTCGATTTGACAGAAATTATTTGTGATAAAAAATTGGGACATATATTATGGGAATCCCGGAGTCGTCTGTTTTACCGATTTCTTTTAAATAGATTTTACTTTTTTTTGGCTGTGTAGAATGAAAAATCCTTTTCTGTAATTAAAGTACATATGCTAATGCAGGGTGGACAGTCGATTTGAAAGGATTTTTCATTCCACGCAGCAAAAAAAAAAAGAATTTGACGAAAAATAGAAGGTAAAGCAGATCGGTACCTGTTTTACCTTCTATTTTTCGTAAAAAATTTTTTTTTTTTTGCTGCGTGGAATGAAAAATCCTTTCAAATCGACTGTCCACCCTGCATTAGCATATGTACTTTAATTACAGAAAAGGATTTTTCATTCTACACAGCCAAAAAAAAGTAAAATCTATTTAAAAGAAATCGGTAAAACAGACGACTCCGGGATTCCCTTAACTTGAAATACAAAGCTAGTGTGAATTAATCTTTTCACTGACAACGTAACTGTGCTTTCAGGTGACATATAATAGGGTAATGAGCAACCACAGATCCGTGACGAAGCCAAAAGATGTGAAGTACAAGAGGATAAACAAGGCAAAATCGAAAAGTTTGGAAGAACTCAGAGGACGTCTTAGAAATTGGGTTGAGAAGGGAAATAAAATAGCTATATCGTTGGATCAGTCATATGCCTGAGCTTACTATCTAGTATGAAAGTATATAAATTATTACTTTACAAACAAGAGCATAACGACTGTCGTCAAATATATACCGCCTGATACTTCAATTCCATTCGTAAGATCCATAGCTAAGGAATGGACTTTTATCTTTGGTAAAGTCGCTATGATGTATTTAATTGAAATATCATTGCTCCATGTGATATTTACTGTAGTGTATCTTCACATTAATTATGCACTTAGGTCAGAGATGAACGATTTGTGAGACTTGTGATATGATTTTACTGTATACAAAGGAAGCTAGGGAGAATTAATTGTCTGGTGATGAAAAGATTAAACCCTTAAGTGCCATGGTAAAAATTTATAACATTTGTATCGAGTACTAATTTCATTAATATATGATTGTTTTCAAAAAATACTGTAAGAATTCTGTTAATATTTAATCGTAAAAAACAGTAGAATTTATATATATTATATATATATATATATATACTATTTTATATACATAAATATTAATATGCTACTATTTTTTACGATCAAATATTTAGTAACAGTATTCTTATAATATTTTTTTAGAAGCAATTATATAAAAAATCCAAAATAATAACGTCTACTTCAAATACATTGAGGTGGTTGTTGTATCATAATACTATTTGACAGTGCAAAATATCTCAACTTTAATCTTTTTATACAAACGTTTAGATATAATTTCAATGATAACATCTGGTTAAAATTTGAAAAAAATTCTTAAAAAATTAATTTAACACAATTATCTTAATATAACAAAGTATAAAAAATAATCAATTTAGGACAGTTAGATTTGAGTTCATTTTCTGTCATGGTACTTACGGGTTAACATAATTCGAAACGACATACGTCCGTGAATTAAGTGTGAATTTTTAAGAAAATATTTTTTATACTTTTTACTTTCGCTTATAAGAAACTTGTGTTGCTACGTTTTAGGACCGTACAAGAAAATTTTATACGGCCTAAATTTTAATGAAATACAAAACTGCAATTAAATATATATATTGAGCGGAAAAGTTGCGAAAATAAATGGAAAAATTCATTATTAGCATGAAAACACATAATTACGTATGCTATACCTGATCAAACCAAGGTACAGTTTTTATCGTTAAATACTACTCTTGTTCATACTATTATATTCCCAACTGAAAGATGTATTACGTTCTTCCTGTATTTCAAAAAATGTTATTTAGAAATTATGCCGATTTCTCTGTTAGACGAAATTGAGATGCAAATAATTTGATTTGAATCGAAACTTTTGATTTAAGAAAAGAATATCATGAACAAATTTGCTTAATGACAAATATTAAGCGGGACATGTTAAACAGGTTTACTTTTTAACAAAATTATATAAGATATACACAATTAAAACGCATACTATACAAACTGAATACTCTTGTTAATCCATTCAAACAGTTGTTGTTTTTGTGCCTATCTTTCTATAAACAAATATTGAAAAAATATCGTACTCTTAATGTATAAACTTCAATCTTGATGTTTACTTGTGATATTTTAAGAAAGATGATAATCAATGGATGATAATCATATTGTGTGGAGCAAAATACTTTGTATTTTTGCTAAAATCTCTTTACAAGAAATCTTAAAGTTTCTATGTAACATTTCGTATTGGTTCAAAGAGCCTATATTAAAATAATTGCCTGATTATTAAGAATTCTCATATGTGTTGCGTGTGTGATTATATCGTTTTATTAAAAAAAAATTTCAATAAGTCACACATAAAATATTAAATAACGATAAAACACAAGATTTAATTTCTCCTTATCAAACCAAAATTTTATAAAATTCAAAGAAAAAAAGAGCTATACTCTATTGTATCAAAGTTTCAAAACTAACTATGTAGTCCAACATTGAAGATAAATTCTAATGTGTATCGCGAGTATACACATCGTATGGCAATGCGTTTATAAAAAAAAAAACATAAAAGCGTAATCGCACTATTTATAACAATGTGTTACACGCACGTGTATTTTACGGTTCTTTTATAAAATAATTATAAAATAAAAAAGTGCGCTCAAAGATCACAGCTTTGATGCAACCTGCTTGTGATGCGAATGCATTTCTCTCTCCATTTTCGATACATCTACTTGACTACTTCATTATTGAGCTATCAAGCTAACGGGTATAAGAAAGCTACCGACAATCCGTATTTTTGCAAGATAAAAAGTAGAAAAGAAAGAACGAGCAAACGTCTCTGGCTGTACCTTTGTAAATAATTGGAAACATGGACGTATAATATTCATCTAAAGATATAGATTTTACAACACTATTATGTAGATAGACACATATAATATTGAATTGTAATAATAAATTGTAATAATATTATATTGAGTTTTATGTTCCTGTGGACTGATTAACAGTCATTGAGAGATCTCGTGCATGATATATTTGCACGCACTTACAAATGCATATATGCATGTAAAAAGAGTATGGAGATATATTTAAATATATAAATAAAGTATATTTCGGGATATAATGTAATGTCGAGTCTACTTACGCGGAAGAACAAAAATCTTCGAGGCGCTTAGAAAAAAAAACCATGTGAAATTAAACATCACATCGGCTTAAATATCGTGTGAATATACATGTGCAATGGTGCCCAAGTATAGGAAAAGATCAATAATTAATTTATGTGAAACCATGTAACGTGTATACTGTCGCTTTACTAGAAAATGAGTAGACTGCTACCAATATCATGCAATTATTTTTTAATTATTATTAAATCCCAAATAAATTATGTCGATGGAACTTGTCGTGGTGTCTAATTCATTGCCTTCTTCTATCCATTTTTCCACATTGTTTCTTGTTGAATGTTATAAATTAAAAGATAAATTTCAAACTTGATGAATATCAAAGTTCTATATTAACTTTAGCTATAAATATGATCAAGAATCTAGAATAAATATTTCCAAAGCCTTATATATAAAAATTTTCTTTACAAATACATAACTGTGTGATAAATTTAATATTACGCTTGAAAAAGAGATTATATGATTGCTTGAATATCTTTGAAAAGTATTTTTATAGAAAGATTTCAAAGGAATCAAATTCAAAGAAAACAACTCACTCCATAGTGGCTCGTCTATAACGGTTGCGCAACCGTTGTGTTTTCTAAACACAAGCATTATGGCCGCGAGTACAATCGGATGTACATACTGTTGTGGGTAGAGCGATATGAGTTCATCGTGAGAGTCGCAAAAAGATACTACGAACATGATTATCGTGCTGTTTCACCTATTTTATTTATTGGGCAAATACGTGTACAAGACCTATCGTCTCAAAAAGCTGAAGGCCTTGTGCGATGCCGCAAAAGATAATACCGAGTCATCTGAATCCTACGAAATGCTTGACGAGATTTCGGTTAGCAGTGAAGACCTTTCGGCGCCAAAAAGTAATGAAGTATTGAAATTTTCGCCGCCGGCGTACATACAAAGATACAACGCGGTTGTGGATGTACTTATGGATCCCAGGTATCAGGGAAAAGTACGAAAGGTATAAATGCTTCATACATTATTAAACGTAAATAATGTAATGTAAATAGCGATAAAAAGTTTCTTAGTCGCTTTTTTATCGTCTTGTTATATTATATACAATAATTATATTTAAAATTGTTTCGATAGGTTGTTGATTTCGGATGTGCAGAACTCTCTTTTCTGGTTTATTTGAAAAATTTAGCAGGAGTGGAAGAGATACTTTGTGTTGACGTGGACAAGGAATTATTAGAAAGACATCAAGGAAGAGCTAAACCACTGATTTCTGAATATTTGTGCAGTCGAAACACGCCACTTTTAATTGAAGTATGTGAGGGCAGTGTGACACACAATGACAGAAAGTTGGAAAAGACAGATGCTGTAATTTGCATTGAATTGTATGTCATTGCATGAATATAACTGGATATAGCATTTTATAATTGGAGCGTGCATGTATTTCTTGCATTCAAAAAACTTTTTTTTTCAATTCTAGGATTGAACATTTGTATCCAGACACCTTAATGGATCTTCCTTTTAATATTTTTGGATACATTATGCCAAAAGTAGTAGCGATAACAACGCCAAATGCAGATTTTAATGTACTATTTTCAAATTTCTCTGGCTATAGACATCCAGATCATAAATTTGAGTGGACGAGACAACAATTTCAAGACTGGTAAGTTATAATGCTCCTTTCGGAGCGTTTTCTCAATTAATCTTTACTTTTTGTTAACAGGGCACAAAACATTGTGGTGAGATACCCATGTTATGATGTAACATTCCATGACATCTGTAACGGACCTGAAGGCACTGAAGAATATGGTGCATGCACGCAAATGGCGGTATTTCATCGACTTTCGCTGATAGAAGAATGTAATCAAATAAGTGGAGTAGATGGGTTATTTAAAAGAGTGTGTAGATATGATTATCCTGTAAATATAGACACTCGTTCTGACGAACAAAAAATCCTGGATGAAGCGACATATTACATCAATTTCTTAAGCTTCAAGAAGGACGAATACACAGAGGAAGTATCTCTAAGCGACGTGGTGTCCTATATGGAAAAGTGTTACACTGTTACAACAGAAGCATTAAGGACGATTTTAGTAGATGCCGGATGGACTGTGCAAGATAGAGACGACGGACCAGTAATACTCAATTCACAATCCACCAATTCTTCCAATGACGAGATGGATCTAGATATCATAGATGATGTTGATTTTACAAATGAGGGAGACGAATGGAATGTGAATTACGAACCTGGTCCACCGACATCGGCCGATGAGAAATCTGTATATATGTCGCATTCTAGCTATTGGAGTGAAGAGCCCAGCATTGTCATACCTGAAAATCGTTCCATTATACATGAAAATACCTATCTATTCGATGGAGTGAATTCTTTCACAGAACATCAGGAAGAACATCAGGTGGCTGAAGAGCCACACACAACTCATGATATCAGCAATTTGAGAGTTAATACCGTAGAATCTTCAGTATTCGCTGAACGAGAACTTCCAAGTAATTCAATTTCTCTCGCTTTAGATGAGACAGAAATGGATGCTAGAGCTGAAATAATTGATTCTAGTACATCATCAGTTCTCGCTGCATCTTCAGTAACATCCAATAGTAGTTTAAAATTAGAAGATACAACGAAAAATTTATCAGCTGACAATATTACAATAGAAAATCCACCGCAAGATGACGAGATTCTAAGAATTATGCATGGATCTACTTCAATGTTTAATTTCCAGCCGCCTTTGTGTGTTTCCCGTTCATCGACGTCGCCAGAACCACTTTTTTTCCATTCCGATTTCAACAATTCTTTGCAAAATGATAGCGCAAATGATCAAAACGAATCGTATAGTAATCAATGTTTATTGAACAGTACTTTTCAATCTGAAGCAGCAAATGAGGCAGCTATGAGTATAAAAGAATCTACACTAGAAAACACATTTGAACTTAGAAAAAGAAGCCTGCCGAGAGAAGATAAAATAAATTTTTTCAAATACACTCGGTCAAATTATTCTAAGGTTAATAAGGATCTTGAACAAGATGATATTGCCTCAGTGAAGAGTGAAGCTTTTAAGAATAATGACATAGCAGCTGTATCATCAAACGTTTATAGTAGTAATTTTAATAATCAACCAAGGTACACAAGCTCACCTAGAGCGAAAGTGCCCAATAGTCATCGACATACTTATCTCGACTGTGAAGAACTAATGCCTGCGACGAATAGTTCTTTGAGCGCAACAGAAGCAATCAAGGAAACTATATTGAATACTGATAATAATTTACTACAAAATACTAGTCAGGAATGTAACGCTAGTGCAGAAACAATTAAGTTGTGCACTTCTTTAAACAGTGATGTTATTAATACTTCAGAATACAATGTAGACTGTCTCGCTAGCAATAATATACAGCAAGAATTGTGTTTAGAAAGTAAAGAATTCAACTGTATTGATAAATCTATCTCCGCAGAATTAACGCAAGGCACTAATGAAGAATTAGCGGAAAAGACAAGTATAATCAATTATGAGACTGATGTTGTGGATGATGTACAAAGTGTAGATACACACCACGTCTTATCATTAGACAGCGAGAATATTAAGCACAAGAATGAAAACGCGCACTGTACATTAGCAGCAGCAAAACCAAATAGTATCGATGATAGAGCACATCTAGAAGATGCGATTAGTGATCTTGCAGAGTCGAATGCGAGCAAAGGCAGTTTAAGTCCGCTTAGAGAATTGTTAAGTTTCAAATTACAGAGCGATAATAAGCGTTCTTTTGAATGTGCCAAAGAAACTAGTATTTTAGAAAATGATAAGTTTGTACCTTTTAAAAGTAATAAGGATACAAGTAACATTCAGCTTACATCAGCGGTGTTAAAGAGTGAAGAGAGTGTTAGTACAAGTAGAGATGTTAATATCGCCGGATTAGTGAACAATGTCGAAGCTAAGTCATCTCCACTCGAGACTCCCCCGAACAGTTGGTCTCCGGAAATTATGGACTCTGGTTACCCCAATTCAGCCTCTGCCCAGGACATAACACCGGAATATGACTTATCCAGCATAGCCCAGGATCATATACCGGATTCCGAGTCGCCGAGCGTCGCGGAAGCACCGAGATTGGGTGTTCTGGAACCGATCGAGGTGGAAAACGGCGACTTGGCGAATAACAATAGAGACGACGAAGGTAACAACATGATGGCTGTGGACGCTAATGATATCGAAAATTTGCAACCGCTTATCGATGTATTGGAGAACGATCTCGAGAACGAGAACGATATTTACGTAATGCAAAACGGTTTTCCCATATGGCTGTTGAGAATATTGGACATGGCCAATCCGCTTGATTTTGACGTGCAAGCTCGGCAAAATTTAAGGGTTCCTGATGAACTAGCAGGTAACTATGTCTTCTTCCCTTTGTACTCTTCACATTCCAAAGATGAAAAATGTATTTACAATGTTTATAATTATCAGATGGTGCTAACTATGTGGGTCACGACGAAGGTTTTGATAGCAGTTCTTCGGAAAACGAAAGCGATATTGCTTACAATGAAACGGAAAACGATAATGAACATGGTGAATAAACCATTTTTTTTTTTTAATCAAGAGAGAGAACGTGATACGTGATATGATTAAGGCATTTCAGCGTAATCTTACATATCATTCTTCAAGTTCTTGATAAGAACTTGCAGTGTAGGCTTGAAAGGTAAAGTTATAGATTGAAAAACATTTTTGCTTGCGTTTCAGACTTCCTGTGAGAATAATTACAAGAATAGTTTACTAAAATAGTTTTGATAAAAATAAGATTTTTTTTTATCTTAAGGTTGTTATTTGAATCGTGTTGATATATAACTACCTCTTCCGATTTACTTTTAATAGCAAAACACTTTTTTTTATATTTAATGTTACCGAATACTTCAAACTATGTAATATTTTCCGTAACGATAAGGCAAGTGTAGGTAAACAAAAGATATTTCGCGTATTTATTAAGAACAACTTAATCTCTATTTTTATATTGTGAAGTAAATATGCGTTTTACATATTTTTAGTTCTCATATTACTATTCTCCACATTTCTCAACCTTGGAATATAATTTCAAACATTTTTTTTAAATTACAACTTTGTACCATAAATGTCTACCGAAAAATGAGGGAGAAGCTTCTCTCTATTTTACTGAAGATTAAATATTTGTTATCATTCAGGATCTTCAAAAATTTTGATTTCAATATATATTATAAATATATCATATCTTGGTTATGATATATCATATATATATATGATATATCATAACCATATGTATATATATTATATATACATATGTATATATATTATATATACATATATATATAATATATAATTATACACATATCGACATATTATATACTCGTATATATTTTCTTACAATTTTACTTTTCCATTAATTGTTTAGCGCACGTCAAGTTTCCAACGCAGTACATTAGTGTGATAAATTTTACACAAATGTATCAGTCATACATATATGATGTTATAGATTTAAGTATGTGATATTTAGATCATCGTTTGTTCAAACGTGATAAATTACTAATGTTACGTTGATTTACGATTGTTTGAATATAATTTCGTTGAAACTTTCTATCCAAGACTGACACTATTAGTTATGTTCACAATGATGCAAAGACTTTGGACAAATAAAATCAGTATAAAATCTGGGCAAATGTTCTCAATATATTTTTACCTATTACAGGAAAACATGTACATATTATATGGCATAAAAGTTACGAATTCCTTAATATTAAATATTTTACATGGAGATACGATATCCTTCTTTATTTCAATAACATTGGAATGAAATTACAGGGTATACAATAGTGTTTATACGTCGTTACCCTAAGACTTTACATGATTCTGTTAGTAGACGATTTCGATTGCTTTTCGTATTTACAGAAATAAAGTCTTCTATTTGAGTAATACAGGTGGTTATTTCCTAGAGCGTAAGCCAAATGTGACCATAAACTTTGCTTGCAATCGTGTACATATTATTCATTATTATTTATGCATCTTCATAAATACGATTCAATAAAAAAAAATAAAACCATTATAAAATTCAAGTAAACTGCTTGAAATAAATTTCGTACAACTTAATGGCACAAAGGAATCTGCTTGTAATTAATAACAACAGGGCGCAATAATAGAGACAGTTCTAATAATATTTCTTTGCGTATAATATAGTTTTGATTTTTTATAACACTTCCGTCTGTATCCGTAAAAATAAACACACATCGTGCGTAAATGGCACGATTCACGAAGCTAAGTTTGATAGTCAAAGATGTGCTATAGATATATAGCAAATTTATTATTGAAACACTTATGACACTAGACGAAGTTACACATCAATGAAATTGCGTTTTTAAGTAGTGCCTTAACACCATAATCTATGGCTCTTAGTAGTGTTCGTCTCGCTACAGACTTTATCAAAACCAAGTGCAGATTGTAACTAAATAGGATTCTGAGTATCTTGTATCTATCGTGTAATTTACATGCGTGCCTACTTTGCTACGTTTTTTATGATTAATGTCCCATGACGTAGAACAGGAGTTAAAATGTTAAACATGGTTCGGCATGTTTATTAGTGACGAAAGTACATATAAAATTAAAGTAGTGAATGCTTTTAATATCAAACCTAACGCTACTTGTGGATCAGTAAGAGAATTAATTATACGTTATCGTCGATCACTTCGATTGAAATTATGTGTATTGCAGAATAGCAGACTTATAACAATAAGGATGTACGATTTGTACGGAAGAAAAATTAGAATAATGCGAAACGCACTGAAACTATTTTGGAATGTCACGTTAATCCAGATAAAATTAATAGAAAAGTGAAAGAAACGAGTTTCTTGGTTGTCCATTACAATATAAATATCCTGATTTCCGCAATCGCGCATTTGTCATTTGAAAACACTGTATATACATAGTAGAAGTCTACAGCATTTTCTCCCTTTCATACTTAGACTAGTTTCATACAAAACGCGGCACGCATACTTAATTTCATTTCCTATTATTGTGAATAATTTATCGTGTTTGCAGTATGCAATGTGATTCACTTCCGATAGGTTGGTGCGGCGTCCGCGTTATATTAATAATAATCCGCGTAGTGTCTCGTAGACTTTTGTCAAGCATAGCTTGCACACTACCTTGTATACTAAATGAAAGGAAGAAAACGGAAAAAAAAAATATATATAAAACAATATCGATACAAACGCTTACATTCGTAAAAAGGAAACAAAAAACGAATCACAGAAATAAATCTACTTTTAAAACCGTTATAACAGAAAATGTATCGTAATAGAAATTTTTTTCAATATCATTAATGTGTAAATAGAACTACCTAATCGAAAGCACTAGATGTGCGATGTGTGTGTGGAAACCGTGGCAAAGAATATCGAGATTTGTTAACAGATCAAGCTGTATATTACATGTAACTACGAACATACGTTACGTTCACGTATTTATGCCTGGCACGTGACGCGTCTTCGAGATATGGGCCTTCTTCCTCTTCTATCAGCATTTTGTCTGTGCAACAAAGCATTTCTACATTAGCGAAAATTAATGGCCGCAGCGCCGGTTATTGTTCACGCAGAAAAGTATCGATATAATATTTAGTTAATTATCCTTATCAAGAATATTTTTGTTAAATACCTCTGAAAACATTTTCTTATCCGACTATTTTGTGCAACTTTGTGAATCCTATTTTCGAATCTCGACGCGTCAATTTCAAAAGCTTTTCACTTTAAGGAAACACTTACCGCATCACACAACTTCCTTGAGACTGTCGCGTGCTTCGCGGCTTCGAGAATGTATTAAATGGTGCAAATCGCTTCCGGGTGCGCTATCGCGCCTCAGATCTCTCAGTGCAGCTGATGTCATAACTTCCCTCTTATTCGCCGCTTCTTTAATGCTGGACAAGGTTTTACTGAGCCATGGCCAGCTGTTTCGCGCGGCTTGCAGCTCGGAGGCAGTAGCGTGTAATCGATGCGTCAGGTCCTGCCGAACGATACTCACATTACATTGCGTATTTTGATTTCTTCTTGAAAGCTTAGTTATGCGAGACACATTGTGAGCGTTCACCTGATTCCGACATTCGGCTTCGACATGCGCCAATTTCGTCTGCGCCAATTCTAACTCCAGTTCGCGCACTCTCTCTTGAACTCTATGCAGCATAGGATCTATCCGGTTTTCTAAAGGATGCGAAATGTCCGCCAATATATTCGACGAATCCATTATACATGTCCGACATTTCTCACATTTTGAAACCTTTGCCTGAAATATACATATCATTATTTTAATTCATCAAACGATAAAATATATTAGTGCCGTCGAAATTAAACCGGATCACGCACTCGTAATTCGCCCAACGTCGTCTTTGCAGCATTGTAGTCGTCTTCCAAACGCTGGCAGATCTGAAATATACAACGTGTCTCTTGCAGCTCTGATACGTGAAATTATAATAATAAAATACGCCCGCAATGTAAATACCTGCTTATATTCGGCTATGATGACGTTGCTTCTACGGCTTTCGGCGTCTGCCCGAGCTACTTCACGTTGTAACATCTCTTTAATTTGCAACAGCTCCGCTTCTAGTCTCTGCTTTTCTTCTTCGTTTCTGGCGACTGTGCCGCGTAACTGCTCCACCTCGTTACTGTATTCGTCGGCATTTTCTTGCGCTTCTATACAAAGAATGAATAATTTTTTATTAGGAAAGTTTCGACAATTTTTTTCAACTCTACAGCTTTATCGATCCAAATTACGCTTGGATATTTTGTATACGTCAATAAACGTATCATTTTAGAGTTTATATTTTTTTTCTATTTTAAATCCGACATTTGAACACCATACGAAGTGATTTTTTAACAATGCACACCAGAACATTATGTAAGCACATTACTGCTCTTACTCTTCATCAATTCTTTCGCTGCATGGCTCATGCTTGCACTTGATGTATTCAAAACAGATGGTTCGAACATAACTGACAGATACACGGTATCGCGTTACTACGAGCAGCTGGTTTTGCTATATGTTGCAGTAGGAAATGTACTATGGCCAAATTTAAACTGCTGGCATGGCTGATATTGGAGATATCTTTATCTTATAACATATCTTTTCAAGTGACAATAATATTGGCAATCGAGATCTTTATAAATACTGCGACCTTTATTTCATTTTTGAACAGTAGAAAATAAAGTTTGCTACAAAGTTTGCGTAATTCCTACTTCTTGTGTATATCTAGTCTTGTTAAAACAAAAAAATTATTGCAAATTGAATTTTTGATTCATCTCTATATGCTGTAGTTGTTCAATTGTCCATTGTTGATTAGAAATATTTATGGTATAATGCTGCATTTGCTGACATGAAAATTCCTGACTGATACGACTAGTCAGCATATGGTCACATTACTGCTTATCAGTTTACCCATACTTCAACGACCTGGTACGCAGCACTAACATAGATAATAAACTTCATAACAATGCTCTTACATTTCTCATATAATCTTTAGAATTTGAATATTTTTCTCAATTATAAATGTTATTTTGTAAAATTTCACGTCACTTTACTACGCTACTTTGGTTCTTTCAATCATAATTATCACAAGTATCATCGCATATATTTTGTGGTACTATTTTTATAAACGTGAAGAAAATATTTAGTATAAACAAGTGCTAACAATTTCGTTTGTCGCGTCATGCATACCCAGATATAGCAAAACACAAAATATGAGAAGAAGTGCAGATATTTATTAAGTAGGAGCAGGATATTATTGGATAAAATAGGTAATTCACAAAACTAAAAATATTCTGGGATGATTTATTTTCAATAAGCATAATAAATAATGTATAAATAAAAAGCAATACAAGGTCGTGTAGCGGTGTGGCCAATAAGCAATGGATTGTAATAACAAACATAATATCTTCAAGTAATGTATGTCAATAAAAAATAAATAAAACTTTACAAAATTAAACTTATAACAAAAATCCGATAGCATGAAATCTTCTCGTCTCACACAATAATGTACCACATGTTCACAGCACGCATTAAGACATATATTGCTATTGTAAAGCAATAGCACAAGAAAAATACAATATAACAATTTTTCACATGAGTATTTTGCATCACAAAAGCTATATTTTGATTTGAATTGCTCACCAGTTCATCATTCAATCAGTGGAATTAGAAAAAATAGTGTAATCTTAAATAATTTTAATATTCTTCTTACGTTTCACTTATGTATGCACTTAAATAAATATTATTACAGTATCTTTATACGTAAATCAATTTCATAGTACGACATCCATGAGAAAGACGTGATCAATTTATCGATTGATAAATCTAGATCTCCCTTATCGAATTTCGATAAAATTATTAACTTACACGTTAATGTGCACGTGTTTATATCAAATTATCTTGCATACATAGCGTGATAAAGAAATCACTGAATCATACATTCCAGGTATTATATTTCACATATTATAAATCGCAAATAATGAATGCAAACAAGTTTATATAAGTATGCAATAAAATTATTTGTATAGTTTAAATTAGAGTTATCAGGATTGAATTTTAAATGAAGATAATTAATAGCTTGGAAAAAATATATTGTACTTTTCTAAAGAAGATATACCATTTTTATCTTCAATTTAATTTTTATATAACTTTCTTAATGTTCTTATTTTGCAAATAATCTGTTTATTTATTTTTATCATGTTGCAACATTTGATTAAAAAAAAGAACGTGCGCAAGCAAAACCATCACCTGACTGTGGAGTATTTGTGCAACGTTTACTTTGTATTTTTAAAGTAAATTTTATAGAGAGCAGTGTGTAATCTTTTATAGAGAGCAGTGTATAGAATTGATTATAAAATATTTATATTGATACTATAGAATAAACAATTATATATTAACTGCACGTTCCTTCATGAGACTAGAGGCATATTTTATATTTTGGCTTAAAAACATGAAATTTATTTCATGCATATTTTGCTAAATGTATACATAATTACAGTATACAATATTGTACGATGTAGAAAAATATTTATTCGTATTTGATTATCGAAATATTTTCTTCGTATTTAATTAATATGTTATAATATTAAATATTTTTGATAAAGTCAATTTATTATATTTTTATCATTATTGTTACTATTATATTATTTTATTATTAATTACGTTCATTATTTAATTAGATTACGTATTATATGATATACTTTAATAGAAAAAAAAAATTTTCTAAGTACTACAGAAAAAAATACTTCAATACGCGTTCCGCGGCACAACTCAGAAACTCGTTCTATTTTACAATAATCCTTGTCATGTAAAAATATTTTACTCGTTAGTTTTAAGTAGTACGTGAATGATATGAAGTTTATATGTGCCTGAAGCGCTTACCCACATAAAATTCACAACCAACAGGCAACAATTGAATCATTGAATCCTACATGGAGTATACATGCATGTACGGTGTGGTGTACAGTATTTTCTAATGAACTGTCGGAACATTGGGTTTGTAGGTGAACTGGGAAGTGTACAGTTTAAACGTAGAATATGAAATTACCTTTCAGCGTCATAAATTCTGCTTCATACTTCTTCAGCTTCTTCAATGTCACTGAACAAGCTAACTTCATGACGTAGCGTGCGACTTCTTCATTTCGGCAGCGTTTTGGTAAATGCACTCGAAAGTATTTCAATATACTTTCAAAATCTAATTGTAATAACTCCTTCTTACACAGCTAAAAAGTAAAGTTACTTTTCTTTCATATGTATATTGATTATAGAATCGATATAAGAAATCATAGTAGTAATTTGATCGATAAAATAATTTATATGCCATTATATATTATATTGTTTAGTCACAATATTTTAAAAATTGCTTATAATTAATAGCTTACCATTAACAAAGCGAGAGCGACTTGGAATAATGTGTCGAGACCTTGCAAAAGAAATACGTCCAAGATATGAAAGACGAGATATAGTGGAAATCTAGCAGTAAATAGAGTTAGAAACCATTGTGCGGCGAACATGTGCGTTTCCACGCCGCGATCACAGAAATGCTTATAAAGTTCTGGTAATTGATCCTAGAAGCCAAACGTGAAAAGTTCATTTACCTTATTCGCTTACATTACTCAAATACAAATATAATGCCAACTCACCTCTATCAAACGATTCAACTGGTAAAATCGCATGTAAAGGTTGTCAAATCTGTCCTTATATAAATGTCGAAGACCATAATCGTACATTAATTTGACCAGAACACAGAACGCTTGTTCTTCGGGCATCTATAAATAAAGAGTTTGTTTTTTTTTGGTCAGTGGAGACTTTAAAAAAATGTTACGACAACTGTGAAGTCAATTGTAAACAGCTCTATCATCTATTATAGTTTTACGAATCCAAGTAACAAAACATAATTACTTACGTGTAATAACAGACTAGCAACTAAGAAACTAAGGCCTTGACAATATCCAACTTCTTCATCATGGACAGCATATGCTTTACTTATTCTGTATAAAGAGTCTTGTCCTAAACCACCAGTTTCTTTAAAAAAATCATGGGCTGGAAATGTTCTGTTAATATCCCTTAAAATCACGCTCTCACAGCTGCTTTCCTGTATATTAATCCAAATTTATGTTAAATCTCAAAAAACGAGGAATAAATACTTGTTATTTGAAACGAAGTACTCACCTTTGTAATCAACATTCTGTATTTGTCCATCATCTCCTGTGAATTGTCACAGTTACTCAAACGTTGCCAAACTTCGCCACGTAAAGCTTCGGGAATTCCTTGTTTCGTAAGTTTTATAAGCAGTTTTGGACGTTGCTCGTTAACTTGCCAACTATCTAAAACTTCAGCCCAACTAGCCAATTCATCCGCCGAGCAGTCCTTTGAAACTTCACCTGTACCACTTAACATGGGCTCGTCTCCGTCTGTACGTAACAAATTGAAATGTTATAACAATATGTTTCGTACTACTGAATTATTATTATTCAAATTAGCAAGCCGATTTTTCTGCCAGCTTAATTTATCACCTGAATCTATTTCTTCTTTAGGCGTAAGTGTGTCGATACTAGTTAAAGATGGTGATCTAATTAAAGATGCCAAATTCAGAGCAAGATTCAATCTGTTTCTATCTAATTCGCCAGATGTTTCTATACTTTGTACTTCATAATGTACTTCCGAACCATCTCCAGAAATTACCTATTAGGAGAAAAAAAATGCAACGCAACAAGCCGATAAATATTTAGGAATAAATATGAAATGCAATTTCTTGAGAATATAAAAGGATAACTCACCTCTTTCGAATTGAGATAAAACTGTTGCACGAGATTTCTCTTATTAAAATACCAAAATCTCTCGTTTTGTGGAAACACTTTAACCGACGTTTCTATCACAAATCTTACAGGTTCACGAATATCTCTGATAACAAGATCAACGGCGACGGTCATGAAAATTTTACCTTCTCTAGGAGTTTCTATATTAAGAGTTTCCAAAGCGGGATCCGCAGGATCCCAGCGTCCACAAATATTATAACACTGTTTATCTTGCATTATTGGTCCAGTATTAACTTGCTGCAAAATTGTTGTAATATTGCGAACATCTGAGCTGATTATAGACATAAAATTAACTTGCTGGTGTGAATCTCTCTTTACCATCTCGAGTAGTCGCATATCGCTGTGCTTAACATTTCGTCCGGGGCTAACAAGTACTCCAAAACACCTCTCAACCTCAAGTGTAATGCCGCCTTCTTTACTGGACACTTGCTGAATGCTCAAACAAACTTGCTTTGCTACGTTACTTCGTAATTTGAAACAATTTCTGTCCTTAGGTACTGTACTGAAACCACCTTTTCCATCTTCCTCTTTTATTTCCATGGTGACTTCAAAAATAAATACTCTAGAATTAATTTTTTCACTACCAGCATTGAAACCATTAAAGTCACTTCCCGTCAAAGAACTTGTCATCGAACGTGGTATTCTGTGAAACGCTTTTGAAAAGCAGGCTGACACTTGTCCGACCTAAATAAAATAATTATAGAATATATTACTAGATAGAATATATGAGCACTGTACAATCAAGCATTTATATTATATCTATCTCTTAATTTTTAGTTCAAATAAAACTAAAGTGAAATAAAAACTATTTTAAGATCAAACATTTTATACTTTAAGCTAAACCTCTGCAACAAATGTTTTACAGAATATAACACATATTATAATCAAACTTCTTTTCACACATATGTATGCATTATGATCAATAATACAAAAAACGTACCGCTTCTGGTATGTCACAGCGAAAAACATGACATTGATAAATGGCAGATTCTAAGGTATCACCATGTGACCACGTAAAAGCAAAGCATGCTGCACATGGACCGGTACTTTCACCACGTGCATAAAACAGAATACGCTGCACTTCATAACGCGCAATAGCTTGTTGTGTCCCGGCATCGTACAAACTAAACAATGTACAGTATATATTGTTACTTGACATAAATAATCTGATGCATGTATCATAAATTGATTTTCAGTACATTCACTGAATTTAAATATACTCACATAACTGACCCTTGTGAACTACTGGGTACTGAGACGGAAATTTTTATTCCTAAATTTAAAGATTGCTCTGCATTTAATATATTCATATTACGTTGTATTTCACATTCTGACTTTGGTGCATTTATCGCAGCTGCTCCCAGATAAGTTACACCATTGAATATAGTGCATTCTTGTTGAACGTGTGACAGTGTATTCAATTCTGAATCATAAACATACATTTAAGCTTAAAACTTGCTTGTCATCTTTATGTATTGCTTATTCTCGTATAAAATATCATCTTGTAACATACCGTCCTCAAGATAATCCTCAGGTTTCATAATATCCTGCTTCTCTGATGTAACAACACAACTAACGTCGTAAAATTTACTATGACCCACTTTTTTCGTCTTTTCTTGGTTTTGTTGAGTGACAGCGCCTGTTACTTTGAATTCACCTGCTTCCATTTTTGAGTCCTCTGTCAAAATCTGTTGCCATATAAAGCAGATATTCGTGCATTAGACTATCACATTTATCTGTCATTGATCTTGATTAAAATCTACCTACTAAAGTTAGCGTCACCATGATAAGCTTGATAGCTATACAGACCTCACGAAGATTATTTTGCAAATCCTCCAGATTGCCGTTATTAGCAATTTTTAACATGGGTGGTTCCAAAAGAGTTTGTTGTTGCTTGCTAGTACCTTTCTCATTTACAAATTCATATTCATCACTTGTCGCCACTGATTCCATGGACTTTACACTCATGCTATCCTCCATAACTAAATCTGCAATATTAATACTTATTAAAAAATGTCTATTCTTTAAAATTAATGTCAATTTAAAAAAAAATGTTACTTTTTTAAATGTCCATCAATTACAAATTATATTCTATAATACACTTGGCAAATTATATTCTTCATAAGTAAATAAGATGTAATCTTTCAGCGGAAATGTTGGAGATAAGCTTTGAGTTAATCCTGTAAAATTATCTTATCTCTGATTCATCTATGTGAAGGACAACCTTATATTCTACTTCGCACTTGGAAGTTCCATATAGTATTTACAAACATTGCTCTGGCACAATGACAGTAAACACGTACAAAACTGCAACTTCCTCTTAAAAACACAAGTGATTGTGTGCGTTGTCAGCGTAGTAAAACGATATTTTTAATCCAGTATTCGTAGAAATGTGATCCCAGAAGAAACGGTGAGTACGAAGGATGTAATTCTATCTCTCTGCGCTGTAATCTCTGAATAGCCGTGTCACCCTCGTGCTCTATCAGCACGGCCCATTAGAACGTAAGAGAAATAATCTGTTCGATTGCAGCTAGCGGTGCAAAACAAGCGACGCATGTACAAAGTTCGCGGTGGCGGCGGCGGCATCACCGTGTGACAAGCGTCGCATCCGCCCGTGATTCTCCCGTGATTCTCCCGTGATTTCCGTTGTATTTCAGACGATGACAAGCCCTGCCGTCCCGTCGCCTTTATCGCCTCCACTAACGCTGTATTTCGATCTCGTTATTTTCCGCCGCGACGAAAAACGGGATCACCTGCGCGGCGTGGTCCCGAATTTTCGTGGTGACACCGCCGCTGCCTGCTACTTCTGCAACCGTTCCTCGCACGCGTATTGTATCCGACCACCTCACGTCAAACTTTGCGCACGTTTTGTCGCAGCCCGACGGACATTTACATGGTTTCCTCGTAGCGATGGCGATCAGTGCGCTTGACAGAAGCGATGACGGAGATCAGCCATTCGTTAGTATCCACGGTCCAGTGCAGGGTACAGTCTAGTGGTCTCTGGTAGAATAGTAGATAGCCAGTAAAACGCCGATATCGCAGAAAGTATCGATACCTTCCTCTCGCAGTATAATTTCGTTGCGAATACGAAATATTTGATAGCGACAGTTACATATTTATTTTTGATTATTCTCACGTTTGACAGTGTCCATATTTTGCCATCGACATTTGCTCACAAAGCTAAAGAGTGTATTGAGCTAAAGATTGTATATTTTAGTACGCAGGAGTGATATACACGATATATATCGAGATATATATACCATCACTTTTTTTTATTTTTAAATGTTGTTTGCAAAGTACAAAACAAATAAATAGGCCTCTTTCCTAAAATAAATTATTAGAAAGCATAAATAAAATTTGTAATAGACTTTTTCATTTGCAATAATTAAATTGTATTTTTGTGTGTAATAAATAATTTTAAAAGTAGATGCAATAATTTAAACATTTTATATTTATATATTTATTTATTTTATTTATTAACTCTTTTCATAATCTACTAACAACAGTTTGTGTAACAGGTTGTGTAAGATATACTTTTCTGTAAATCGAAAATTAAATTTAAATAATATTAGTTTTAAACTCTGTAGAGAAGTCATCTTGTAGAATTTGTGAATTGAAATCTTCGAATATCTCGGCAACGCACTGAATAATGTCTTTGAACAGACCCTCTTCTAATCATCTGATTATCTTATCATCTTCATCTTACAATTTGTAAATGTAAGCATTGGAAAAGCATGTTGCTAATTGAACCAAAAAAATTGTTTTATTAGTTCTATAAAAAATAGCAGATTTTTTAATAATATAAAGTTATGCAAACTTATCTTTTTTTATACGATATTGTATTAAATATGTTGTAATTTTATGAGAATAATTAATATTATGCGCATATATGTATATGTATATGTATATATTTTCTAAGCAGAATCTATAGTTTAGATACCTTTTAGATTTAGTTATTTTATTTATGATGAGATGAATAGAGATGAATAGGTGTATAATAATATTATTTTGAAAAAGAAAAGAAAATGTACAATCAATTAAAACGTATGTTTATTAATAATATTATACTTTACTTTCTAAGTCTTTTTTATTTTTAAAGTTTGTCAACCTTGGTCTTCAGATTTATCCAGACAGTTATGTATAATGCATCTTAGGTCAATCGACCAATCACATGTCTAACATAAATTTATATAAAACACGTGATTGGTTGATACTTTACACATTATGAGTTTAATGCACTGAGCTCTATACAAACTGAAAAGCGCCTTCCTATATGGTCTTGCGCACAATAGAGAAAATACATGAACCTAGGAATATATGGACAAAGCGATAAGTGGTCTTATAGGCGAGGAGAATGAAGCCTAAGCGGTAGGAGGAAATCATGCAGCGGCATGTTGGTCGGCTAGAAAAATTGCGGTATTAATTTAATCTTGACTTGGCGCTTGCGTAATGAATAATATTCATATATTATAAATTCCGCGCTCGTTTAATTACACTGGTTACCCGTAGCCGCCATCTTGGTTGGCTAATTTCTCCCGTCCCTCTAGCTTCAACCCCGCTGGCTATCACTCTATCCATATATTTCTAGGTTCAAAAGAAAATATAAGGAATAAGAATAAATATTAAATGTTAGGAAGAAGAATTTGGAATTTTGGAATTATTTTACTTTAAACAAAAGAACAAAATGTATTAGTTATTCCTAATTCTTAATTTTTAAATCATGATACGTTAATATATCCCATTTTCTTGTTCTGAAATAAAATAATTCTAATTTTCTATTTTTAATATTTAATATTTGTTCCTATTTGTAATATTTTTTCTATTGTGCGCAGGGTCTAAGCGTGGCGTAAAGGCTAATGTCCACGATGCTAGAAATCCGAGATCTCGGTTCGAAAAATGTATAACCCTTTGATTATGAAGATATGGACTGTTAGGCCGGTATTCATAGTC